CGCTGGCGTGCAGCGTACCACTCACGGAGCTGCTGAGGGGGGGGATGTCACGAGTGCGCTGCTGCTGCTGCTGCTGCTGCTGCTGGCGCTGACCACCACCGGAGCCGACCCTCTGCGCAGCGCCACCCCGACCAGCTCCACCTCCTCCGCCGCCGCCTCCTCCACCGCCGCCACCTCCGCTCCCACCGCCACCGCCGCCGCCGCCTCCGCCTCCACCGCCGCCACCGACACCTCCACCCCCACCACCACCCCCACTGCCACCCCCACCCCCTCCACTGCCTCCACCGCCGCCTCCACCGCCCCCGCTAGCTCCTCCAGTGCCCCTGCCCCCTTTGCCCTTGCCAGGGCGGCGTCTCCCGCTAGGGGTAGACGCCGCACCGACCGACTCAAGCCCAACGAGGTCGGCCGCAGCACCAGAGGCAACAGAGGGCAAAAGGGGGGAGGGGGAACACCCCTCAAAGATGGGGGTGCGAGGGTCACCACGAGAGGCTCCTACAGCTACTATGCTCTTCTCTGCTGCTAGGAGGGACTTCTCGAGGAGGTCAACGGTGAGAGTGGTGCGGCAAACTGAGAGGAAGTGGTCCCTGACTACGCGAAGGGAGTCAGGGAGCCGGGTGACTATGTAGTAGAGGGTGATGTACATGGGGGGGGGGTTCTTGGCGCAGAACTCAGCAGGAAGCGCAGCGCGGTAGCGAGTGTCACTAGTGCGGAGGTGCGTAATGAGGTCAGCGACTGTGGGAAAGGCAGCAAGGTCAGGGAAGAGGTACGGTAGCATGAGGCGGCTCAGTGCAGCAGTGACAGGGGAGGAGTAGCGCGCAACTACAGCGTCGTACAAGGTCTGAGCACTCTTGTACTGGCTAAAGTGCGCACGCTCAGAGGTAGGCAGGTGGCGACGCACAGCAAGACGTGCAGCAGCATCGCGCGTGGCCCACTGTGAGCGAACAGTGGCGTCAGCATCAGCAGCGGGGGCAGGAGAGGCACCAGAAGTGAGGTCAAATAGGGAGAGGCCGTCTGCTCTGTCGCACTGTAAGAAAAGCTGCAGGTCATCTATCCAGACGTCAAAGTCAATGGCCCGACCCTCAGCGTCAAAAGCGAGGACACTAGGGGTAGCCATGACAGCAGTAGACTAGCAGCGCAAACAGTAGGGTGAGGGCAGTGCTGTGAAAGAGGCGCTGCTCTTACCGGACAGGGCGGCTCGGGTGGTTCGGCTGCAGGGCGGCTCGGCGGCTCGGCTGCTGGGCGGCTCGGCGGCTCGGCTGCTGGGCGGCTCGGCGGCTCGGCTGCTGGGCGGCTCGGCGGCTCGGCTGTTGGGCGGCTCGGCGGCTCGGCTTCTGGGCGGCTCGGCTGCTGGGCGGCTCGGCGGCTGGGCGGCTCGGCTGCTGGGCGGCTCGGCTGCTGGGCGGCTCGGCGGGGCCGCTGAGAGGGCGGCGTCCGGGGCCGCTGGGAGGAGGCGGCGGGGCCGCTGAGAGGAGGCGGCGGGGCCGCAAAGGTAGGTGGCGGGGCCGCAGGTAGGTGGCGGGGCCGCTAGTAGGTGGCGGGGCCGCAGGTAGGTGGCGGGGCCGCTGGTAGGTGGCGGGGCCGCAGGTAGGTGGCGGGGCCAGCAGGAAGGTGGCGGGGCCGCACAGGTAGGTGGCGGGGCCGCGGGTAGGTGGCGGGGCCGCTGGTAGGTGGCGGGGCCGCAGGTAGGGGGCGGGGCCGCACAGGTAGGTGGCGAGGCCGCACAGGTAGGTTGCGGGGCCGCGGAGGGCGGCGACGAGCCGTAGGGGGCCGTGAGGGGCCGCAGGAGGGGCCGTAAGGGGCGTAAGGGGCCGCGCGAGGGGCCGTAAGGGACGGCGCGAGGGGCCGTAAGGGGCGGCACGAGGGGCCGTAAGGGCGGCGCGACGGGCCGTAAGGGCGGCACGAAGGGCCGTAAGGGCGGCGCGAAGGGCCGTAGGGGCGGCGCGACGAGCCGGGAGAGGGCCGCTAAGGGCGACGCGACGGGGCCGTGAGGGGCCTAGCGAGGGCGCGACGGTAGGGAGAGCACACAGGGCGCGACTCGGGCCGGAGCGAAGCGCGCTCCGGGCAGGAAAAAAAAATTCGTGGTGGTGGGCCCTAGGAATCGTTCCCACTAGGGAACCTGCTCGATACCATGAGAAGAAACGAGGAATGAGAAATGACTAAGGGAAAGTTGGGTACAAAATGCAAACCCTAGGAAAACAATACCCCATATGTGCTACCCCACTATAGCCTACACTAGCTATGTCATATAAATCTGACAGGCGCTAGGGAACGGTACGAGCGTGACTAACACTAGGGTACGAGACAGGCTCGGGCGTTACGGACGTGAGCGGGAGGAACGGGATCCCACAGGATCCGAACGTAGGTGATATTATGTCAAGAATTGAATTGTGAGGTCACTAAGGTTGGTTGGGCTACAAAAACCTAACCCTAATAGTTGTACCCCATATGATACACATCACTAAGACTATAACATTTGACACCTGATGCATCAAGGTCTCCCTGAGAAAAAAGGTTGATTGACAATGTTACTACAGAAAAAAGCATGATAGAGTAGTTTCAGAAAAAAGCCTGGTAGGAGATAAAAAGGCTGAAAAATCAGTGTTATACAATATAAAAGCCTGAAAGTACAGTCTTCGTACAGAATAAAAGCCTGAAATTCAGGAATATCAGGGTAAAAATCCTGATATCTGAGGTCCTGCATGGGGCACTAACATGGCAAACATGGATTAATTTTATTTATTAGTGTGCTCCTGTTACGAGTGCAATTGAGTGAGCGAGCGAGGATTGCACTATCGAGACAAGAATACAATGAGCGAAGGATTGAGCAAAGAATATATAGCGAAGCTACGGTGGTAACGGTAACGTGTGAAAAAATGGGGTGCACGACGGGCCTGGTGCCGAGGTTGGGGACTGTCGAGGCGAAGGTCCGGAGCGCAGGTTACCAACCGAACCGTGAGGTTGGGTCGTATCGTGAACAGTGGCGGGAATGGTGTCGAGGCGAATTTCGCGAGTGGTAACGGAATATTGTGGGGTGCTGTTGGCGGGAACAGTGGTGTACGCGCTGAGCAGGGAAGCGAAGTAAGGAAAAGGAATTTTCCGTACAGCTCCATAAAATTGTGCATTCTCAAATACATAATATGCATCTATGGAAAATCCCGAATTCGATGTAGATGCATAAAGCGGAGAGCGGCATTGTCCACAAACTGGGATGGATTGGACCACGTCAACCTTTGCCATTGGTAGGACCGATTACGGAAATCCACAATCACATATTTGGCGTGTCGCTCACACACATCCATGACTGGCTTTGTGATCTTCCACCCTCGAAACCAGCCAATCCCAGATCATCCAGCAGCTCAGGCAATCCTGAGTTAATCCAGATTCCGGGCCACACGCCACTCGGGCCCAGCCAACCACTAACCACATCCGCTTGCTGCTCTTTTCGCTCTCCCCACCCCTCCCCACCACGTCCAACCGCACATCCCTGCCATTCAACCCCCCAATCACCTGCACGCATACCAAATCGCCAACATTCAAATACCGCCATCACTCAAGTTCTCATCAAGTCAGCCGCAGTTCGATCAGCAGCAGACTTCCAAATTATCCAGGAACCCTCTCAGCTACTAGCTGTACCTTCATCGCAGTTGACAATGGCCGCTCTCGCCAACGCCGCTGTGCTCCCGTCCACCTTCGTCGGCCAGAGCGCTGAGCTCGCCGCCAAGGTGAACAATGTCGAGGCTCGCGTCACCATGAGGAAGACCGCCAAGGCCGCTACCAGCAGCGCCTTCTACGGCCCCGACCGCAACCTGTTCCTGGGCCCCTTCTCCTCCCCCCCGTCGTACCTCACCGGCGAGTATGCCGGCGACTACGGCTGGGACACCGCGGGTCTGTCCGCTGACCCCGAGACCTTCGCCAAGAACCGCGAGCTGGAGGTACGTTGCTTGCGCATTCATTAACGGTTGCTTTTTTCGCTAATTGAATCAGTTGTTGATCCGTCGTCAACTCCTCACTCTTGCATTGAATAACGGTTCCTAACATTCTGACTTCTCCCAATCTTAATTGTTCCTTTCAGGTGATCCACGCTCGCTGGGCTCTGCTCGGTGCCCTCGGCTGCCTCACCCCCGAGCTCCTCGCCAACAACGGCGTCGAGTTCGGCGAGGCCGTGTGGTTCAAGGCCGGTGCCCAGATCTTCTCCGAGGGCGGCCTTGACTACCTGGGCAACCCCAGCCTGATCCACGCGCAGTCCATCCTGGCCATCTGGGCCACCCAGGTCATCCTCATGGGTGCCGTCGAGAGCTACCGCGTGGGTGGCCTTGAGGGCTTCCAAGAGGTCGAGGACCCCCTGTACCCCGGCGGTGCCTTCGACCCCCTGGGTCTGGCTGACGACCCCGATGCCCTTGCTGAGCTGAAGGTGAAGGAGCTGAAGAACGGCCGCCTCGCCATGGTGTCGATGTTCGGCTTCTTCGTCCAGGCCATCGTCACCGGCAAGGGCCCCCTGGAGAACCTGTCCGACCACCTGGCTGACCCCACCGTGAACAACGCCTGGGCCTATGCCACCAACTTCACCCCCGGCGCTTAAATGTGCTGTGTCTAGTTGTGGTGCTTTGTATCTATACTAGATTTCAGCTGTAAGGCTGTTCATAAAATTCAACATAAATTTCAACGAGTTTTCAAAACCACGGTTTGCAGAGCACTTGCGACAAATGGTAGTTATGTTACCGCAACATGTGACCGGGTCCTTAGCAATTCAGCAAGTTGTCTGGGGGTTCATTTTGCTGCAGGCATGCACCTTGGGGCAATGTCCCGGCCCAATTCAGTGTTTATCCGAGTGCCTGTGCTGCAGAACCTTCAACATGGCTCTTCCAACTCCAGTGTGGTTGGAAAACATGCTACGAATCAGTGTTTTTTCTGAGTGCCCGAGCTGCAGACAGAACCTGCACCATGTCTCTGCCAGCTCCTGTCATTCTAAATCAGTGATTTTTAACTACACTAGTTGCAAGTCAGTGCTTATCTGCATGCCCGTGCTGCAGGTCCTGCACCATGGCTCTCACTGCCTTGCTGATCTGCTCCAACCGAGTTGCTCCCAGCACCATCTGCGCCTCCCCCTCTCCTGCTGCACCCACAGCAGGCGTGTCGCTTGCTGCGCCTCTTGCTTCATCCACCAGGCTTTCCGACAGCAGCCGGTGCCAGGCTGCATCCTGCACATGGGGAGAGAGGAGTGATGTAAGATGGAAAGGTGATATCGCTTGCAAATGTAGCATAGGTTTTCCAACAGCAGTCGGTGCCTTGCTGCATCCTGCAAGTGGGGGGGTAGGCAAGACTCAATTCTACTCCAAGAGGTTGAGGACCCCCTGTACCCCGGCGGTGCCTCAAATGCGGGGAGGTACGTGCCGTCCAAGAGGTTGAGGACCCCCTGTACCCCGGCGGTGCCTTCGACCCCCTGGGTCTGGCTGACGACCCCGATGCCCTTGCTGAGCTGAAGGTGAAGGAGCTGAAGAACGGCCGCCTCGCCATGGTGTCGATGTTCGGCTTCTTCGTCCAGGCCATCGTCACCGGCAAGGGCCCCCTGGAGAACCTGTCCGACCACCTGGCTGACCCCACCGTGAACAACGCCTGGGCCTATGCCACCAACTTCACCCCCGGCGCTTAAATGTGTTTCTAGTTTTGGTGTATAGGTGCCTTACATTTGTATGCATCTGTTACTAAACTAGTAGCCAGGTTTTCGTTCATATCTTTTGCCAATAACCCAATGGACATAAATATCGCGCGAACACGTACCTGAGTCCGTATTTAGCAGATTGTCTTTCTTGGGTGGTGATTTTTCTCGGCGGTTTTCTTAAGATTTCTTATTCGTTCTTTCATAAATAACGTGCACAACTTCATGATTTCCTAAGCTGATCATGCTTACTGCTGCACACGATACTTGCCCTTGTTCAATGAGTACAATTGCTACTGCTCAGTAATGCGCTGCATGCTCTTGCACCATTTGCGCCTCACCCCTTCCTGTTGCACCCTCAGCGGATGTGTCAGTGATTCCCTGTGTGCCCATGCTACAGGAGCTTTACCATGGCTACTTCTGTTAGTCCAAATCAATAGTTTTGGACTACAATTGTTGCAAATCAGTGCTTGTCTGTATGGCCGTGCTGCAGGTCCTGCACCATGGCTCTCACAGCCTTGCTGATCTGCTCCAACCGAGTGGCTCCCAGCACCATCTGCGTCTCCCCCTCTCCTCCTGCTGCACCCACAGCAGACGTGTCAACTGCTGCGCCTCTTGCTTCGTCCACCAGGCTTTCCGACAGCAGCCGGTGCCTTGCTGCATCCTGCACGCAGGGAGAGGAATGATATACGGTAACATGGAAAAAAATATCTTTTACAAAGGCTTCATGACTGCAGGCATTGCCTTGCTGCGCCCTGCGTACGAGGAGACATGTGAGGGAGCATGATACAACTAGGGAGTAGGGAACACACGACTTGTCATTTAGGCTTCATAGCTGAAAACGCAAGCTAACCCACCCACAGTCTGACGAGCAGATGGTAAGGAACGTCAGCGGGCATGCCCAGCGTGTTTTGAGTCGACTCAAAACAGGAGGTGCTAACGTCAGCGGACATGCCCAGCGTGTTTTGAGTCGACTCAAAACAGGAGGTGCTAACGTCAGCGGACATGCCCAGCGGACCACTCGCCACTCGCCATGCCCGTACCGTTTGCCATGCTCTTAACACTTGCCATGCTATCCCCACACACCGTGCTCTCCCCACACACCGTGCTCTCCCCACACACCGTGCTCTCCCCACACACCGTGCTCTCACCACACACTGTGCTCTCCCCACAGACCGTGCTCTCACCACACACTGTGCTCACACTACTCGACTCGAGTGCCCATGCCTCACCACTCACCACTTGCTGCTGAGCCTGGTCGCGGTGCTCTCACCACTCCTCACTACTCACAACTTGCTGAGCCAATTTTTCAGTCAACTAAAAAATTGTGCTGAGACGTTTTTTTTTCAGTTGACTGAACATCTGGCCATGCCTCACGACTCACCACGTGCTGCTGAGCCTCACAACTCACCAATTGCTGCTGAGCCTCACCACTCACCACTCTTGCTGCTGAGCCTCACCACTCACCACTCTTGCTGCTGAGCCTCACCACTCACCACTCTTGCTGCTGAGCCTTGCGACTCGCCACTTGCTGCTGAGCCTCACGACTCACCACTTGCTGCTGAGCCCGGTCGCAGGCGGCTTGAAAGAGGTCCACTCGGCTCTGAAACACCTCCAGCGCTGATGCTACCGCCACCTCACTGCGGGGCGCACTGGAGCTGCTTATAATGGAGACAAAGATGGAAATTGGAGAAACAGGTTCATGGAATGAAGATGAGTACATGAGATGGAAAGGAGGAAAGACAAACGTTAAAAAAAGAGAAAGTGAAAGAAATAGAAGAATGAAATCGGGCTAATGGGAGAGAGCCGGAGTGAGAGCAGAACGGAGGGAAGTGGGAGCGAGATGGGGAGAGGGAGGGAGTGTGTGTGAGAGTAGTGTGTGTATCCTGACTGTGCGTCACTGCAAGGAGCTGATGAAGAAAATGGGAAGAGAGATAGGAGAGCAGCAATACCGAGGGAAGTGGGAGAGAGATGGGGAGAGGAGAGGGAAGGAGTGTGGGGGAGAGTAGCGTGTGTACCCTGACTGTGCGTCACCACGAGGAGCTGACGAAGCAGCCTCCACGAGCAGCGAGGCAGAAGCGAGCACCTCCTGTTCAGACAAGGGAAGTTGACAGACGAGGGGGGATGGCAGACAAGGGGGGATGGCAGGGCGATAGGAAGGCAGGGGAGGAAAGGTGATGGGAAGTGGGAGGAGAGCGTGATGGAAGGAAGAGAGGGCGATGGGAGGAGGCGAGGGAATGAGAGGAAGAGAAGGGAATGAGAGTAAAAGAGGGGAATGAGAGGAAGAGAGGGGAATGAGAGGAAGAGAGGGGAATGAGAGGAAGAGAGGGGAAGGAGAAGAAGAGAGGGGAAGGAGGGGAAGAGATAGGAAGGAGAGGAAGAGAGGGGAATGAGTGGAAGAGAGGGGAATGGGAGGAAGAGAGGAGAATGAGTGGAAGAGAGGGGAATGAGAGGAAGCGAGGAGAATGAGAGGAAGTGAGGAGAATGAGAGGAAGTGAGGGGAATGAGTGGAGGAGAGGTCGATGAACAACCAATCAGCAATCCATGGGCACCAGACGAGTGAGTGACGACCAGGGCGAGAGCGAGATTAAAGAAAAAGTGGGCAAGCGGAGTGGAAGGGTGCGTAACGCATTGCTGGAAGGGTGGCGGAAGGGTGGCTGGCAGCGGAAGGAACGCACGCAAGCAGTGCATGGAATGGCAGGACGCACATCTAGCGATTGGGGCGGAGACGAGTGCGGATGGGTGGGGGAAGGATGGCAGGGGAAAGAGCGTGCGCCAGCAGGGCATGGATGGAATGGAAGGACGCACATCGAAGGAGCTCTGAAGCCGAGCCGCCATCGCATCCATCGCCTGGCGATCCCTAGGCGGCAGCCTGAAAGAATCTCAGCCGTCCGTCTCAGCTACCCTTCAGAGGTGCAAAGGTGAGGATCGGCGGAAGAAAGGGCGCGGAAAGGCGGAGGGGGAAGGTACAGCGGAACCGGGGAGCTGGAGTAATGGGAGAGACGAAGCGGGAGCAGAAGAAATAGAATGTTTCGTGACGGACGGTATTTAGGGTGAGGAGCCGCAACGGACGATGAGCAGGTGACGTTTCAGGTGACTCAAACGCACGAAATTGCTTCTTGAGTGGACTCAAAAGCCATTCCAGGCGACTCCAAAGCACCTCATTACAATGTCACACGGCGTTTCTTTCAATCAGCTCAAACCTGGTATCTGTATCAGGAAGAGACAAACAGGTTGAGATGAGACCTACAATCCGATAGAAACGAACTTGCCGCGGACGTGGGGGAAGGAAGAGGGATGAAGCGACGTCGATCGAGGACATAGTAATACGCTACTGCTGCGTGCTGAGTACTTTTACTCCTCCCTTCTCCGACGTCGCTCACCCTGAAAAAAATGTCGATTACGGATTCGTAGGCACCTCGGGAATACCAGAAGTAGGTGCTGGTGCGCCGCGGCAGACGCTTTCAAAAACGTGCTTCCTCGCTACACAATCCGCGACAAGAAGTTACGTTTTTGAAATAGAATATACCGTATCTGAGGTAACCAAACCAATTTCACATCTGAGAGATCACATTTCCTTCCAAGTTTTTGTGAGGCTCAAATAGATGTTACATTAATTTTGGCCCACCACAACCTTCTCTAACATCCGTAATCTTTGAACGCCCGTTGCGAATCTGACAGAGTGAGTAGGCATTATTAAATCCTGCAACAAATATACTCCCTCCTTCAAACATAGGAAAATGACATGCATTTAGCATTTCTTACTGGTATTGCAATTTAACTCTTGTTCTCCATTACTTCTGCCCACGGGCCAGCTGCGCCAGGTCACGCACGCTCATGGGAGTGATGGAGTCCTGGCGGCCAACAAACGAGTTGCGGGCGAGGATGCGGTTGAGGGACTCGGTGGGGTGGAATTGGTCCCAGAACACCGCGTCCTGCGGGCGGCTGCACTCCGATGCGGTTACCGGGTTACTACCCAGGTTGGCCGTGGTGCCGCACTGCACGAGCCTGTTGATGGGAGGCGGGCCACCGCAGCAGGCGTTGCTACCCTCCAGGAGGCCTGACATGATGCATACAGATGAATTGGGGGATAGCGAATTTGGGTAGCTCAGATATACAACACACATATAAGGACTCTACATTGGATGGCTAAGACGCCAGACATATATTTATCCCTAACGGTGGGTTTATGACTAAAGCTGGAGAAACGGAATATACCTGGTTTAGGTGGGGAAAATTGGCTTGGGCATGGGTTAGAAATGGAATCGGAGAAGGGGTAAGGCGAAAATGAGGGGAAAAGAAAGGTGAAGGGGATGAAGGGGAGGAAGGGGGAGGGGGGAGAAAGGGGAAGGGGATGGGTTGATGGACATGCAGGCAGAGGCCCTATTGTTATAATTGAAGGATCGAAGTGGATAGGATAAGTCTGTTACAGTACGATATGGAATTGTTGAATAAACATTCCTGAGTAACGAATCCTTAACGCAAAGGTGAATGCAGCGAGGACGAAGACCGAGCGACACGACAGTTATCGAAGACAATTTACAAGCAGGAAGAATTCGAAGTGCAAAGCGAGGGGAAACTTCAAACGGGTACCGAACCGCGCACGGTTGCAATCCTGCATCTAGTAAGGGTTAGCCCTAAGGGGAATGTACTGTCAAACTTATATGCTATAGTCTATCTAGGCTGTAGTGGGGTAGTTTATATAGGGTACAACACTTTTAGGTTTCCTACTTGTACCCACCTGCTTTCTAGTTCATTCATTCCGTTCCTGATTCTAACATGGTATTCTGAGCAGGTTCCCTCGTGGGAACGTTTTTTTTTAGGGCCCACCACGAACTTTTTTTTTTACTGCCCCGCCCGAAGCGCGCTTTTGCGCCTGCCCCTGCTGCCGACCCGGCCTCTGTGTGAGAGAATTGACGAATGAATGAACTAGGAATGAGGTGGGTACAAATAGAGAACACAAAAGTGTTGTACCCTCTAGGAACTACCCCACTACAGTCTAAACAGACTATAGCATATATAAGTTTGACACACCCCCATAGGCAAAGTGGGGGAGAACAAGGGGTCACAAGACCAGTCAAGAAAAGCAAAGCAAGCTCAGGGTGGATCACAAAGTCACCACGCAGCCTGAGCACAAGCAAAGGGCCACAAGGCCAGTTCACATGCAGAGTTATATAAAGGAAAGTAAACAATGCAGTGAACACAACCTAGCAAGTATAAGCATGCAGGTATATGTATAAAGAGTACAGTACAGGCAGAGTCAAGAAGAAAGCAAGTGAGGCATAGTAGGTACAAGGCCTAACACAGTACAGAAGCGCTGATGATCACAAGGCTGAAGTGCCTTGGTGAAAACATCAGCAGTGTTGGCCTGAGAGGCCACGTAAGCTAGACGAAGCTGGCCACGCTGCTGCAACTCTCGAGCAAGGAAGTAGCGCAGAGCAATGTGCTTCGTTCTGTGCTCCAGTCTGTGCTCCTGACACAAGGCCAGCATGGCCTTATTGTCGACGTACAGAACTGGAGGAGAACGAGGCGCCTCTCCCAAGTCGGTCAGCAGGTAGGTGAGCCAGCGTAACTCCTGTGCAGCCATGGCCCCAGCGTAGATCTCAGCCTCACAACTGGAGCTGAGAACAGAAGAAGAGCGGGTAGACCGCCAATAGACAGAACCGGAGCCAAGACTGAAGGTGTAACCCTGTGTCGACCGCTGCGTAGCCAAGTCGTCAACCCAGGAGGCGTCAGCGTGACCAGTGAGGACAACTCGATCCCGTCCTCCAAGCACGAGCCCCATGCCCGATGTACTGCACAAGTATCGCAACACCCTCTTCGCAGCATCCCAGTGCACCTTTCGGTGCCTGCCGGGAGCCACGTAGCGAGCCAGAAGGCTGAGAGGGTATGCGAGGTCAGGTCGTGTGCAAGTCATCAGGTACATGAGGCAGCCCACAAGCTCTGGATACGGGCCACTCGGCTCTACGGACTCGTCCGAAGGTGGAGCTGAGAGCAAGTGACCGGTAGGTAGGGGAGTGGACTGTGGCGAGGAGTACGTGAAGCCGAAGCGCTGAAGGACCTGCTGCACCATGTGTGACTGAGTCAAGGTAATGGTGCGCTGTGCTCTGTCCCGGGTGATCCGCAAGCCAAGATAGCTTGTGAGCTCACCCAGGTCTGTGCACGTGTGTCTCTTCTGCAGCTCGGACTTCTCGTGGGCGAGTGCCTCAGTGTCAGCAGTAGCAAAGACGAGGTCGTCTACGTACACGAGAACGTAGAACGGCGGCAGAGTAGTGTCAATGCGTAAGAACAGAGAAGGGTCAGCAGTGGAAGGAGCAAAACCAAGAGCAGCAAGAGTCGTCCTGAGTGTGTCGTGCCACTCACGGGGTGCCTGGCGGAGACCTTAGACTGGCCGCCGGAGGCTCCACTGGGTACCAGCAGGAAACGACCCAGTGAAGCCAGGTGGGCGGCGCAGCCAGATCTCCTCGTGGAGGCTGCCCTGTAGGAAGGCTGTGCTGAAGTCAAGCGAGTGGAGCTCGTAGTCACGCTGAGCAGCAACGTGCAGCAGTACCCGAAGAGTGGTCATCTTCGGGGTAGGGGAGAAGGTCTGAAAGAAGTCAACTCCCTGTCGCTGACTGAAGCCACGTGCAACGTAACGCGCCTTGAAGGCAGGCGGAGAACCGGGCGGCCGCTTCACCCTGAAGATCCACATGCCACTAACGATGTTCGCCCCAGGTGGGGGAACCTCGTCTACGTAGGTGCCTGTGGACTTCCAGGAAGCCATCTCTGCGTCCATGGCTGCCTGCCACTGAGAGGAGTAGGGACCCTCTATCGCCTCTGCGTAAGAGCGCGGGGTCGGGATGTCTAGTGCATCCGGGTCTCCCTCAGGGGCAAGCAGCATGGACACGAGATGAGGTGAAGCAGCGGCAAAGCACTCAAGGTCCTCCTGTCTGTCCTCAAGGACGTCCGTGCCAAGAGCACACTCACCCCCGACGGACGGAGGACAGACAGACGCAGACCCAGCAACAAGACTAGCGGCGTAGTCTAGGCGACAGGCTGCAGCAAAGTCAACGAGCTCAGTAACAAGAGCAGACGCAGCAGTGGACTCAAACAGAGGGTCAGTGACAGCAGTGGCCAGAAAGCGCGTGACAGTAGGACTAGCAGCACGAAGGGAGTCAGACTCCGGGTCCGGACCGTCAGGAAGAGAGGACGCAGGAGGAGACGGCAGAGGGACACGCTGTGGAGCAGTAGAAGGACGCAGAGTCATAGAGTGAGTGCCTGGGACAGGAGGAGGACGCGGACGCGAAACACGACCAGCGCGAACAGTACGGACAGGCGACGCAGAGCGAGACACAGGTGACACAGGACGCGACTCATGCTCACGACGCTCCGTAAGACCTCTAGTCGGTCCAGAGTAAGGAGAAGGACCAGGCAGCGGAGAGGCCGGCTGCAACTGCGACTGGGACTGGACAGGCGGTGGACTCAGGAAAGGAGGAGGAGGACCAGGAGAAAGCGGGGAGCCAAGAACCTGCTGAAGGAGCGGAACGTAGTACGGCCGCGGCCGCGCAGCGCCTCCAGAAACAGCAGAGACATAACCGGTACCCTCAGCCCCAGGGTCTCCAGTCCCAGCAGCACCTCCAGCAGCTCCAGCAGCTCAAGCACCAGCAGCACCTCCAGCAGCTCCAGCACCAGCACCACCTCCAGCAGCGCCAGCACCTCCAGTAGCCCCAGTAGCACCTCCAGCACCTCCAGCACCAGCAGCACCTCCAGCAGCTCCAGCACCAGCACCACCTCCAGCAGCGCCAGCACCTCCAGTAGCTCCAGTAGCACCTCCAGCACCTCCAGCAGCTCCAGCACCTCCAGCACCAGCACCACCTCCAGCAACGCCAGCACCTCCAGGACCTCCAACAGCTCTAGCACCATCAGCACCTCCAGCAGCTCCAGCACCAGCAGCACCTCCAGCAGCTCCAGCAGCACCAGCAGCAACTCGACAGCGCCGAGAGTACCACTCACGAAGCCGCTGGGGAGAGAGGGGCTCCCGCCGCGACGGGACACCTAGAGCACCTCCAGACTCAGCACGCGCAGGCTCAGCACCTCCAGACACAGTACCCTCAGGCGCCACACCCCCAAGCTCAGCACGCCCGGTCTCAGCACCCCCAGACGCAGCACCCCCAGTCTCAGCACCCCCAGACTCAGCACCCCCAGTCTCAGCACCCCCAGTCCCCGCACCCGCAGGGTCAGCACCCCTAGCAGCACCTGAGTCGACAGCTACCTCGACCGGCTCGGCAGGGTCTACCTGGGACACACCTGAGGGGGCAGGACCCTGGGGGGAGAGGGGGTCTACCAGAGGAGTACCTGGTGCCAGGAAGAGTGGCGGGGGGTGGGGAGAGGCAGTGCGGTAGGGAAAGAGACGGTAGTACGACACCGACTCGTCGAACGTGACGTCCTGAGAGGACAGAACACGACGCGAGGTGGGGTGGTAGAACTGCCACCCGGGTGCGTCAGGAGGGAAGCCAAGGAAGACACAGGGAACGGCACGGGAGGACAGCTTGTCCGCTGTAGTGTCGCGGACAAAAGCTTGAGATCCCCAAACTCAGAACGCGGACGCATCGCATCGAGTGTAGACGCAGAACAGGAAGGTCTGAGCCGAAACTCTCACTGAGCTGGCGACGAGTACCGCGGATCCAGTCGATCAACACCTCAGGGACCTCACCCTTGCTGCGCAAGGGGAAGACTGTGGTGTAACGCGAGTAGTCGTCAACGACCAGCAGGAAGTAACGCTCGTGACCCTGTCCACGGACGCGGGCTGGGCCCCACACGTCCATGTGAAGAGTCTGCAGAGGAGCCTCAGTCGGAGGGAACGAGGAGGAGTGAGGGGCGGCGCGCTGCCGGCCCTCGACACAAGGAACACAGGTGGGGGCAGGCCCCGGAGGAAGGGGAGGGAGGGACCTGGGTAGGCCCGAGACAAGGACACGGGAGGCCATACCTCGAAGACGAGGCAGGGAGGGGTGACCAAGGCGGTGGTGCCAAAGGAGAGTCTCGTGTGCCAGAGGACGACATGAGCAGGGGGCAGACGCAGGACTAGACC